TATTCGGGATCTAGGCATTGGATGTGATTCCTGTTTTCACAGCCAAAGGAATGAAGGCTAGACCCTAAACTTCTCGGCCAACAGGCGATCACATCTGTCACAAATACAGAAGGTGCGCTTAGCAGCTAGTTCTTAGTCCCTCACAAGCACAGCCCACCAAGCCTGAAATTGGCGACCCTAAGCTCTGTTCTAGCATTGTGGATACGTGCATCGCAACGACAAGCTGGTCAAAAGCGTCAAGCTGCTTGAATCATAAGTTGCCAAACGTTGCTAAATCGATCCAACCTCCAAACTTTTCCAGTGGAATCCACCACTTTGAGCTTGTATTGTACCCTTCCATGACTATTGTACCTCCTAGTATGGTTTATATATATATTTGTAATTATATATTCTCATAGTAGTTTGTGTTGTTTGTTTTTTTTGGTAATGAAGCATTTCATTGATTAAAACACAATGAAACCAGTTCATTAAGAGTGTGATTGCTGGCTACGCAGACAGTCGATGATGTGTTTGCCAATCGTGCTTAAAATCTTTGGTCCTTGTCGTGGTTCGCAGCCGGGTTTTGTCGTGGTTTGGAAACCTAGTTTTAGTCGTGGTGAAAACGTACTCTCCTATCTGGCATATCTTCTGGCATATATTCTGACATATCTTCTGGCATTCTATCTGACATATCTTCTGGCATATATTCTGACATATCTTCTGGCATATCTTCTGGCATATCTTCTGACATATCTATCTGGCATATCTTCTGGCATTCTATCTGGCATTCTATCTGGCAAATCTTCTGGCATTCTATCTGGCATATCTTCTGGCATATTATCTGGCATTCTATCTGGCATATCTTCTGGCATATCTTCTGGCATATCTTCTGACATTCTTTCTGAAATTCTTTCTAACTTTCTTCTGCACATTCTTTGTCCCATATCTTCCTACATGAGGTCCGGCAGGGAACACTTGGCGTGGATACTCGCGGTTGAGGTCCGGCAGGTAACACTTGGCATGGATACTCGCGGTTGAGGTCGTGGTTGAGGTCCGGCAGGGAACACTGGGCGCGGATGGTCGTGGTTGAGGTCCGGCAGGGAACACTGGGCGTGGATGGTCGTGGTGGAGGTCCGGCAGGGAACACTGGGCGTGGGTGGTCGTGGTTGAGGTCCGGCAGAGAACACTGTGGATCGCGGGTCGCAGTTGAGCAAGGACGACGAGGACGACGAGGACGACGAGGACGACGAGGAGGAGGAGGAGAGGAGGACGAGGCAGGAGGAGGCGGAGGAGGAGGAGGAGAAGGAGGAGGAGGCAACTGACATAAAATCTAACAACCCTCACCTGGCAGGTGGGGAAAAATGCCAAAAACTCATATTTAAGCCGTACTAAGCCGTACTAAGTTTAACCCGTACTAAACCCATATTCTGATATTGTAAAAAACCTGCTTTCTTGGAACCCATATTTAAACCATATTTAACCCATATTTAACCCATACTAACCCGTACTCAAAATATTTTTGTTGCCTCTGCGAATTGACGGCACGACCAAGTTTTAAGGCTCCGCTTTTGGTTTTGCAAGATCGAACCGGAAATATTTACTGGGTTCATATCTTAAAAGCTGACTTTTGACATGCCATGCATATCCATTGTGACTTTTTGATACTTTTTGACTACCTCCAGTCCCGCTGAAGGGAAAGTTCGCAGCATAGGAGGTAACTGCAGCCGGTGGAGAAAGCGCGCATCGTGCCTGATAACGCTTGCTTCGGTTTCGATCGCGCGTTCTGTCTGACAGATTTCACAAGTTGTCAGTATGAAATTGCTACATGTAATGACGAGAAATTTGATACAGGTCCACCCGATTTGGACAAATTTGTGCAAATCCAACAAAAACCAAAATATGGGTTCTTTACCAAAAACATGTTTTTTCTCGAAAAAAACTAGTTTTTTTCCCCACCTGCCAGGTGAGGGTTGTTAGATTTTATGTCAGTTGCCTCCTCCTCCTCCTGCTCCTCCTGCTCCTCCTGCTCCTCCTCCTCCTGCTCCTCCTCCTCCTCCTCCGCCTCCTCCTGCCTCGTCCTCCTCCTCCTCGTCCTCCTTGTCATCCTCGTCGTCCTTGCTCAACTGCGACTCGCGATCCACAGTGTTTGCTGCCGGACCTCAACCACGACCATCCACGCCCAGTGTTCCCTGCCGGACCTCAACCACGACCATCCACGCCCAATGTTCCCTGCCGGACCTCACCACGACCATCCTCGCCCAGTGTTCCCTGCCGGACCTCAACCACGACCATCCACGCCCAGTGTTCCCTGCCGGACCTCAACCGCGAGTATCCACGCCAAGTGTTCCCTGACCTCATGTAGGAAGATATGGGACAAAGAATGTGCAGAAGAAAGTTAGAAAGAATGTCAGAAAGAATGTCAGAAGATATGCCAGAAGATATGCCAGAAGATATGCCAGATAGAATGCCAGATAATATGCCAGAAGATATGCCAGATAGACTGCCAGATAGAATGCCAGAA